ATTCCGATTTTCGGTTTTTGTTTTCATTTTTATGTTTATGCTTCTTTTGTCTGTTTTCTTACAAACATTTTAGCTTTTTATGACTCTCTTCATCTACAACTATAAATGATGAAATATGAACTGAGATCAGGATATCTCAGAACTTTAACTTTTGTGAGAATTGACTTGGTAAAAGAAACATGAGCATATATATCTATATCAATCTGCTCATAAAACTTGGTGTAAGATTAAGGGCGTTGAATTGAATGTATTGCTCTGAAATAAATGCTGAACTTAGAGTTCTCTCTATACCTGCTTCAGATTATGAGTCAGAATCATGGAAGCATTGATTTTGTTCTGTTCAATGAAAAATGAGCTGAATTTTTTTTGTTCTGTTCGATAACAGAGAAAATAAAAAGATGACGTGCAGGAAAATTTAGGTCTTTACTTTAGTTTTCAAGTAAGCATTGATTATTTTGTTCCTACTTTATATTCAAATAAATTAATCTCTATATTTAAAAAAAAGTATATATTTATTAAGAAAGGATAAAATTATTTTAACAAAGTTGCNCATGAGGGACACTACAAAGAATTCTGATAGATTATGATGTTTTTCTAGCAAAATTTTGTTCTTGTTGCCGTCCAATTTACACAAAAGTTTCATAATACATAAAGATACTATTATTTATGGATTAACAATGATATATTTAGAATAAATTTTTAAGCTAGTAAAATATCGTTGTGGCAGTTATTCATTTAATTTGTATGATGAAATTTCAATACCCACTGAGGAAGTTCATAGATATTACTACAAAAATGAAAAAAAAAAAACCTTGTTTCTCACAAATTATGCAGTTTTTAGTGCATGAAAACTCTAATTTTAAAAAATATCATCATTCTCACTTTTATTGTTCTACTTTTCCTTAACAAAGAATGATCAAAGATTAATCCATGTAGTATCAATACATAAACCTAATTCAATATTCTTTCTTTGACCGTTGATAAAGTATGAAATGATGTACATTTACATGATTAAACTGATAAGTATATACTACAAATTTCATAGCCTTCACATAATTCAAACGAGTTTTTCCTATATTATAATGAAACGGTGCATTCTGGAATCTTTTCAGTTATGTGGAGTTGTATGAATTGCTTGATAATCTATGAAATGATATGATATAATAGGAGAGCCTAAAAAAAGGTTACTAACTACTTTGCCAACACTTTGACAAATCATGGCAAGCCGGCAGCAGAAGTCATTGGATAAAAGGAAAAACGAAGCAGGTTCACATCGTTGTTGTGAATTGATTAATCAAAATACAAAAGCCAAGTAAAAGCTCCATATGCATTGACAACTTAGCTATAGTTCTGCGTGTTAGGTTAGGTAACGGCAAAAAGACAAAGCACCTTGAGATTTAACCTCGCATTGACAAACTATAACGTTGCCAGTGGCTATAAAAAGATGTGACATATGCACTTGGAAAACACAGTCACAGAGCAAAGTATTACTTACTCTTCTAGGGTTTCAGAATAATGGCTTCTTCTTGTTCTAGCTTTATCGTCGGTTTGACCCTTTTGGTCCTTCTTTTTGGAACTGCCAATGCAACACTTTACACAAACTTCTACTCCCATTCTTGCCCAAAACTCTTTGACACTGTGAAATGCGAAGTGGAATCAGCCATATCAAAGGAGACCCGCATGGGTGCTTCTCTCCTACGTTTGTTCTTCCACGATTGCTTTGTCAATGTAATTTTTTAACATCTGTTACTAAATACTCTTTTTTTTTTCTTCTATCAGCAAAAGGTTGCCTATTTTAGCATGCAATTCTATTCACTGCTAGAAGTTAACATGTTCTAGTTTGTTTCCTTAACACTTTTGTTTCTACATCTTTTTAGGTTTGGTGGTTTTACTTAAAAGCAATATTTAATGGCTAGTTTTTACGTTACATTTTATACAAGCAAACTATACTGAAGTAATAACCCCGTATATTTTCTGTCTTAGTTCAGATATCAATTATTATGATCAGTGTAATGTATGTCCAAGCATATTTTTCACTTGCTGATACATAATTTGCAAAGTAACCCATGTTTATTGATATTATAAATAGTTGTTCATATATAAATCACTGTATAGGATAAATTTACTTTTGATTTACTACTTTGAAAATCATACCGACAATAATTTCTAACTGGTTGACTATGTCAACAATTTTAAACTAGCAATGTATATAATGGAACACTGTATATGTTTGCTGATTATTGAATGAATAATAAATGGTGCAGGGGTGTGATGGGTCGATTCTACTTGATGATACATCAAGCTTCACCGGAGAGAAGAACGCAGGTCCTAACAAGAACTCTGCTCGTGGATTTGAAGTGATCGACAAAATCAAATCAGCTGTGGAGGAAGTGTGCCCGGGTGTTGTCTCCTGTGCTGATATCCTTGCCATTGCTGCCAGAGATTCTGTTCACATCGTAAGCAATTACTCTAACCTGTCATATATCATAGTTTAATCATATATGTTTATAATCTTATAGAAAGTATCTATATAAAAATGTTTAAAATATCCCTTATTTTATATAACATATAAGGTCAAGTGTCCTTGAAAAAGACTTATTCACTAACCTTGACAAATGTGTCTTAAAGTTTCATTATTTGATTTGGAGAAAATAAACTACTGTCATTTTCATTTTTTTGCCTTTTCTTTTTCTTCCACTGTCAGCTTTTCTTTTTCTTTGATCTCAGCTTGGTGGCCCAACTTGGAACGTGAAACTTGGAAGAAGAGACTCCAGAACAGCAAGCCAATCTGCTGCCAACAATGGCATCCCACGACCCACTTCAAACCTCAACCAACTCATCTCCAGATTCAACTCTCTCGGACTTTCCTCCAAGGACTTGGTTGCACTATCTGGTACTATAAGATTTTACATACACTCATTCTAACACATGTTAAACATTACAAAACGAGACTATAAAATGGTGTTTTAGAAACTGTTTGTAACATTAATTTCTCAAACATATGTGTAACCTCGGTACTTTATAACTTGTTACCTTGGAAACAATACTGAATTCATTCATATTCTAGGGGGTCATACAATTGGACAAGCAAGGTGCACAACCTTTAGAGCTCGCATCTACAACGAAACCAACATAGATAGCTCCTTTGCCCACACGAGACAATCTACATGCCCTCGAAACTCAGGATCAGGGGACAACAACTTGGCACCCCTTGACCTTGCCACTCCCACTTTCTTTGACAATCACTACTTCAAGAACCTCATTCAGAAGAAGGGTCTTCTCCATTCTGATCAACAACTCTTTAATGGCGGTTCCACTGACTCCACTGTGCGTACCTACAGCACCAACCCAGCCTCCTTTTTCGATGATTTCTCCGCCGCTATGATCAAGATGGGAGACATCAGTCCCCTCACTGGCTCCACCGGAGAAATAAGGAAGAACTGCAGAAGGTTGAACTGATTGAATTGCTGAAGAGATCTACACCACACATAAATATATGGATATATACTCATGAACCGTAACTTTTGGATTTTATGATTTGATAACAATGCAGGTGTAATAAGTTGTTAAGTATGTGCTGCTGTCATTTTTATGTTGTGTGCTACCAAGTGTACCTGCATTGTCCTATTTTGTTAATTTTTCTTCTGAGTTCTGATGTTGAAGTTGAAGGCTTTCGATGTACAAGTTCATTCCTGACTTTTTCTACCACAATTATTACTCCATTCCGATTTTCGGTTTTTGTTTTCCTTTTTATGTTTATGCTTCTTTTGTCTGTTTTCTTACAAACATTTTAGCTTTTTATGACTCTCTTCCTCTACAACTATAAATGATGAAATATGAACTGAGATCAGGATATCTCAGAACTTTAACTTTTGTGAGAATTGACTTGGTAAAAGAAACATGAGCATATATATCTATATCAATCTGCTCATAAAACTTGGTGTAAGATTAAGGGCGTTGAATTGAATGTATTGCTCTGAAATAAATGCTGAACTTAGAGTTCTCTCTATACCTGCTTCAGATTATGAGTCAGAATCATGGAAGCATTGATTTTGTTCTGTTCAATGAAAAATGAGCTGAATTTTTTTTGTTCTGTTCGATAACAGAGAAAATAAAAAGATGACGTGCAGGAAAATTTAGGTCTTTACTTTAGTTTTCAAGTAAGCATTGATTATTTTGTTCCTACTTTATATTCAAATAAATTAATCTCTATATTTAAAAAAAAGTATATATTTATTAAGAAAGGATAAAATTATTTTAACAAAGTTGCTTGAAGAAGTAGCATGTTTATTAAGATTAGTCTTAATCTGTTAAACAAAACCTTGACTTGCACAAAAGAATGTCAAATTATAATTTATTTTATTGATTAGTTTAACAGTTCCAAATTAAGTACGACAATTAGGCCGAATAAATTAGTTAAGAACTTATTATCTTTCTCCTTCTTTCTTATTGGTGAATAGGAAATTAGGAAGGGGAAGAATAAAGTGATCTCTTAAATAAATTTATGTTACATATTATTGTTATTACATGAAAAATTTATAAAAGAAAAAAAAAAGAAAGAAAAACATAAAGACTACACNGCCGAAAATTCTGCAATCTAGCCCCTCATTGGCGCCCTTAGTGGTCTCCTCTAAACATGCCTAAATTGCCTTAACCTGTTTTCTGTCATGTCCTGGATAGGTGTTTCTCGATAGTATCTGTTTGTATATAATCATTCTATATCATGGCCTTTCCTGTTTGGATGACGCTCCTAGCACTCATTTTTGCTACCTGACTATTTTTTTTTTTCATTCTGGTTTATCTTTTACTTCCAACATTATCTGCCATCAGATAACGCTCCTTTAGCCCATAAGATAAACTTACGTTTAAAAGGTATTTGCAGTCGCAAAAAAAAAATACCCTTATATGCATTTTGAGTATCCATCTCTAATTTGTATCTCCGTCTTAACTTATGTTCCCTCTCACTCTTCCTACAATTGCAATGCACGTACTAAACAAAAATGGTTTGGTTTCAAAGTTTGTCTCCAAAGCTCAAGCTTAGAGTTAACCTCCTCTTTTGCTTCCTCGATCATAACTACATCATCCTCAAAAAGCATGCATTTAAGTGTCTTCCATTTGTTTATTCTTATTGGTCCATGGTTGTCAGCTTTGGGATATAATATGTTAAGAATGTCATATATTATTTTTTTTCACTCAACTATATTTAGCTGACTTTATTTTGCAAGTATTTTTAAAAACCACTCTGGCATGTATCATTTTGCAAGGCTAAAAAGAAGCTAAGTCTCAAACCAAGATGAATCTCTAATTCCTCAAAGGAATATGAATGTGAAAATGAAAAATGTTTCTGTAAAGAAAAGCGCTCTTCAAAGTACAGAATCTCATGTTTCTCGCAACATAAACCACCATATGATACTTCTGCAACTACCCTCAGAGGCATATGTATTGGCAAAATCATCCTTACAGGAAATGGAATTACTTGAAGACATTTATAAAATTGCCTCAGGAAAAAGGCGGGATTTCTAGTGCTTATCTCAACGTTTTTTTCGCAACTGGTGAGGGATTAAGGAAAATTGAGGTATGATACAAATAGAAACCTTTTGCTTACTTGACCAATTTTAGGATTGGATACATACTGTATTCAACCTAGACTGTTGTGCTTACAAAAAGACAAGGCACTGGCTTAAAACCCTAAACATAAAGCTGGTTACACAAAAAAGAAATACTAATAAAATTGAATTATATTTCAACCGCATTAAAATAGTAACTTCAGAGTTTTTTGTTATTTATAATCAGACCTGTTTGGGTTATAGAAAGAAATGTCCCAGTCTTACTAGTTTATACTCTACAATGGGCTTACATTGTAGAATGATGAGAAAATGCTTAGACTTGTGTTATATCAATAATTGTAGAATTTATTTTTCATAAACGTTCTAGAAGGGGGATTTGTAAGCAGTTAGTGAATATGATTACCCCAATGTTGTTGTGGTAGAAGGGACCTGAGGTGGTTATACTAAGGCTTGTTTAGATTAACTGTCAACACTTATAGAAGAAGAAATAGGGAGGTAAAAGGAATTGAACTTCCACAGGTCAAAGTCAAGTTATGCACTTCAATGTTTTTGAGAAGACAAGAGTCTAAATAGTTTAGGCACACAAGTTTTTGTTAACGTATGAGAGAAGTTTCATTTATTTTTACCTTTTTATTTTCTTTTACAAATGTTGATGAGATGTCTGTTATTTCAGTACAAAATTCTCTTTTGATCCAAATACTCTTCCAGGTTTGATTTTTGTCTTTTCCAACTAAAATATCTGTGATCTATTGTTTATATTTACAGGATGAGTCATAAAGAGGAAGCTTTCCTGCATATTCTCATACATCAATCATCTGATAAGTTCAAAATCAGCCGATTCCTTTGATGTGTTCACTGCAAAGGGCCATAAAAAATCCCCCAACTCCTGCGACATAAATTTTCAATAATTTTTGCTTGTTTTCTAATTAGATAGAAGGCTACCCCCTGAAAAATTTCTTCGTCTCATAGTTTTTTACGTGCTGGTGCTTACGCTTTTCGCTGATAACTTCAAAACTTACTGCACAGATATTGCAAAGGATCTGAGCATGAATGTTTTGGCCGTGAGACAAGCCTATGAGCATTGGTTTGCAAACTTATCCGTCAAAAAGCTCTCTTAACGGTTTGTGTGCTACTCTTTCTTCCCTCTTACATTTCCTCCTGAGTTAAAGCAAAAAAAGAGGAAGAGGTAGATGCATCACTGTGATCTTGTGCGAGCTCTTTGATCCGTGGCATGGGAGAAAACAACCATTGTACTGAGAGAACAAAACATCGACACTAACTCTCCCATTAACTGGCCACGCCATTTCCTTGATCTCACAAGCACCTTTACTATTTTCACAACGAATTTTATAGCTGATGAACTTGAAATTTCAGTTCTATGTCCGCCTGGAATGACTTAATTTGCGTTTCGAAACCTAGTGACCCTATAAAAAGATGACCATAAGCCTAATTTTTGTTTTCCCCATCTGATACTATTCTTAGTATACCCTATGAGTATATTGGTAGACAAAATTATCTTCTGAAGCTCCTTTACATATTTAAGAAAATATTATCTAGAAAGTATTACTTATATTTGTACTTGGATAAAAATTTTCATAATCTTACAGACGTTCAAATATATTGAATTAGAAATAAAAAAATTTATTTCTAATCGTTTTATTTATCAAATGTTTTGTTTGAAAAAGATTATTCAAATTTTGTAAATTTTATTTTTCTTATTTGAATAAAGTAATTCAATTACTACATCAAATTAAAAAAATATTTAAAAACGTTTAAATAATTATTTAAAATTTAAAAATATCAATAATGATAATTTTATTTAATTGATCTTGATTAATTTCTTTTTGTCAAAATTTTTCAAAAATTTTCATTTTACATTTACAAATTCTTTTTCTCAATGTGACTATTTTTAAATATTGTAAAATGTTAAATTAGATCATAAATAAGATAACATCGAATTAGATTTATGTAAGGTCAAGCTAAGTTAATATAGGTTGGGGTCAAGTGTAGTTAATTTAAGTTGGGTCAAATTGAGCTAGTCTAACCCTAACTCAAGCTAAGTATGTGTAGGTCTTGGTCTAAGTTAAATTAGACTTAACTTGAATCAAATAAGCATAAGTTTTGGCCAGATTTGGTCTGGACTTAACTTAAGCCAAGTAAACATAGATTTTGGTTGATTAATGTTAGCTTGATTCTAAGCAAGTTGGTTCGGATCTAACACGTGCTCGAGGTTCAAGTTGAGCCAAGTTGGGACAATAAACATTTAGTCGAATTAGGTGAGTTCAAGTTCATTCCACTTGGACCAACTCACGTTTAGACAAATAGAACTAGATTTGGGTTGGTTCTAGTCTGGTCAAGCCTAGGTCAAATCTATTCTATTTGGGTTTAGGTCGAGCCAGAATCAACTTAAGACTTTGAACTTAAATAAAGCCGAATTAGCTTAAGTTCGGGTCAAACTAAATCAAAATAGGTTTACATTTTTTTTGAATTAAGACCAACCTATATTCACTTAAATTTAGTTGACCTAAGTAGATTATAGTTTAATCAAGATCGAATTAGACTTAGTTTGATTAAGACTATATCAAGTTAAATCCAAATTAATCTAAATTAGTTCAAACCCAATTATATATATATATATATATATATAATGAAAAAAAAGTAATTGATGAGATAAAATTTTAAATAGTTTTTTTTAAAGTATAGATAAATATTTAAGTTTTTTGAGATTGCTTTAATGACCGATTTTTTATTAAAAAAAACTAATATAAGAAGAGATGTTATATAATTTACTTTTAATCAATGAAAGAAATAGTGCAATACACTTTCATGAAATGGCTTTTGGATAAGAAATTAAAAAGGCCTTATGCAACAGTCCTTTTCATAATTAAACAGTCAATGCAACTTAATCAATGGTCCACTAATAGCTATGATCATGGGATAAGACAAAGAGAAACATATTTATTATTTTCTTTTGCTTATTTATTTGGAATAATGAATCAGATATTATTATAAGATGTTTGTTTTTCCTGCACATGTAGGGCAGACCCAGCCACCATTGCCTTCATGTTATGGACACCCTGTGTTGTCTCGGATGCCAATTTTTTGTCTTGTCTTTTCCCCTATTTATTTAATTTCTGATTTTAAATTACATTTTATTTAAATGATTAATTTTGTAAAATTCTGAAACTTAATTACTCTTAATATCTGGAGAAAAAAATCACAAAAATCTGAAAAATAATGGAAATCCTTTAATGTTAACATAATAAAAGAAACCTGAGTTCTTTGAAGTTAAAAATCGAAAAAATAAAATAAACCCTTACAAATTTTATTGACATTTATGCAAGTGAGATGTGATATAAGTAATATTTTTTTTAGAAATAAACAGAAAGACTTGGTCCGTTCTGACCAATGGATCTTTGCTATAATCTATCTTATAAATTAATCAATTTAAACTTTGTCTTAACGTAAAATATCTTAAATGCTTTTTAGATTTAATCCATTGAGTTAACAGGTTAGTCCATCAAATTTAAAATATTTATTTTAATATATATGTATATATAATTTTTAAATTTTAATAAGTAACTAAAGATTACATACAATACAAAATTTCATGATAAATTAAAAAATTATAAAATTCTCACTAATTTCAAGTTTTTATATAATACACGAGTAATTAAAGAATTAACATTTTAATTTTAATTATTTTTATAATTATGTGATCTTTTCACTTTTTTAGATAAGTTGATGGATAGCTTCTATCCACCAAAATCAATTAGTTTGTAAGTGAGTTAAATTTAATTTTTTTTATTTATTATAAACGAATTAATTTTTAACCTGGTCCAATTTAAACCTATAGTGAACTGATTTAACGTAAACATTTAAATACGTTGAACCCATCCACCTATGAAAAGTTATGTACTCTGTTTCTATGTCCCTTTGTTTAATAGATCTTTGTATTTCATTTTTTTATGAATTCAATTTTCTTATAAATTAGCTCTTAATTATATTAATTCAGTAATTTATTAAAACAACGACAAAAAGAATTAATTTATGACAATGAAGGAATAACATGTCTAAAATGTCATGATTGTACTATGTCATTATTTAATGCAACAAAAGTATTTTAAGTTTTTAATTTATTCTATAAATTATCTCTAAAAATTTTAGATTAATATATTCTCGTCTTATCATTGTATCACTTAGTCAACTTTTTTCTTTGTTTAAATCAAGCTTTGCATGTTGGTAAAGCTTTCCATAATATATATTTTTTGCATGATTTTTTTAAGTTAAGAGTTAATGTACTTAGTTGTCATACAAATTTTAGAGTATAAAAAAAATGTGGAGAGTAACAAATATATGTGCAAAATTTATATATAATTATTTTTGGAGTTATATTTGTTTTTCATATGATGTATTTGGTAATTATAATACTACGTTGAATGTATAGTAGTCTAATATCTTTTTGCGTCAAATAAAAGCTTAAAAGTTAATTGAAAAAGAAATTTAGAATTGATGACTAAATAACTATATCTAACTTCAGCATAATAAAGGGGATGAGTAGCATCACAGTCTCGGCTAAGATAAAATTTAAAAGTTAGTTGACGAATAATTATATTTTATTAGGAGTAAAAATATGTTGTTAAATCTCAAAAAAACTAGATAAAGAAAACTTTGAATGTATAATAATCACAAAAGGAATTTGAAAGGAGATAATATAATATAAATATATATATAATATTATATTATATATGGGGTTTGCTAACGCGCGTACGCCTGTTTTTCAGTTGGTACATTTTAGCAATGTGTACCGGGTTTTAGTAGACAAAAATATCCTTATATACCATGGATTCTAAGTTTTAAGGTTAAGGGTATTTTAATAATTTTCATTCTCAAAACTAAAAAAAAAAAAAAAGAAACCCCCCAAACCCTTATTCACCTCTCTCATTCCTATCAACCCTTTCTCTTTCATCTTTCTCACTCCAATCTTTTCTCTGTCATCCCTACTGTAGTCCCAATTGAAAAAAATGAGAAACACCCTACTGTAGCCCCAATTGAAAAAATCAGAAACACTTGCCGTTAAACAATCTTACAAAAAAAATGATTTTATAATGAGTTTTGATCTTATAATTTTTGTCTCATCTAATTTTATCCAATTTTCACAAACATAAAGGAATTCGTAATTGACCTGGAAAAAATCAGAAATACTTGTTGTTAAACAATTTATTACAAAAAATGATTTTATAATGAGTTTTTATTTTATAATTTTTGTCTTATCTAATTTTATCTAATTTTCACAAACATAATGACATCAGAGGAATTGGTAATTGGCCTGGAAAAAATCAGAAACACTTGTTGTTAAACAATTTCTTACAAAAAATGACTTTATAATGAGTTTTCATTTTATAATTTTTGTCGTATATAATTTTATCTAATATTCACAAGCATAATGACATCCGAAAGAATTGGTAATTGGCCTGGAGGGTTTTTTTAGAGATGATGATTCAACATATGCAAATGATGAAATTAGAGAAATTAGTGAAGATGGTGAGATTGAAGAGATCTTGAATGAACCTTTGCCTGAAGGTGAATATGTCAATGACTCAACTCTTTACAAAGACAAATTGTTTAAAGGCAAGTGTTTCTGATTTTTTCAATTGGGGCTACAGTAGGGATGACAGAGAAAATGTTGGAGTGAGAGAGATGAAAGAGAAAGGATTTAGATGAATGAGAGAGGTGAGTAAGGGTTTGGGGGTTTCTTTTTTTTTTTTTTTAAGTTTTGAGAATGAAAATTATTAAAATACCCTTAACCTTAAAACTTAGAATCCATGATATATAAGGGTATTTTTGTCTACTAAAACCCGGTACACATTGCTAAAATGTACCAACTGAAAAACAGGCGTACGCGCGTTAGCAAACCCCTATATATATATATAGAGTAATTTTAGTTCTCATTTTTTTATATAATTAGTGAACTTTGTCTCTCTTTATGCAAGTCTGAATATTAGGATGAGAAATGAAATTCATCTACTACAAAATTATTAGGAATAAAATTATCAATTTAAAAACATAAAAAATAGAATTAGTGTTGACCGAAAATAAATAAATAAAATTAAAATTAACTTTTCGTAAATGTATTTATTTACTGAACGAATACAGTATTTTTAGATTTTTCATATCTAGGCCTGGGCCTTAGGGCTTTTATGTTTAGATCCAGTTCTTATTTGACCCAAAAACAACAACGCTTTTTTCTATCTGGGTTCAAATCTTATTTCACCAAACACAACAAGCATATAACTAAATTCTAAAAACATTTTATACAATTTGAATGTAAATTCATTTAAAGCGAAAATTAATTTTTCTTGCCATGTTGTGCTTTATTAGATTTTACTAATCTGACAAAGGCTTATTTGAGAAAAATCATGATTTTAAAAATTAGTGATTTTTTCACGAAATTATTCCCATAAACAGATGGAAATATAAATGTTCTAAATTAAAAAAAAAAATTGTACAGCATAAAAAAACACAAATTACTATTTTATCATTACAAATCTTATACAAATATTTGTAAGAATATGACAAAAAAATACATTTAATCAACTTTATTGAATCACCAGGAATATATTTTCCGAACATCCAAAAAAAACAATTATTTCATCAAACAATCCTTCAGAAGAACAAAGCTGTCTGCAACTTTGAAAATTGATTTTGAAAACACATGAATTTCTAATAATCATTTTGATTAGGTTATGGTTTCATTAACGAGTTAGCATATCTAAGCGCACATTTAAATGGGTGACAATTTACTATAATTAACTAATAAGAACATTTAACTGCACTCAGGCATATACAATCTCAACTAAAATAATGAGATAGGAAATTATTTTGTCCACACATTCGAAACTCACACGATGATGACCAACCAAACATCTACATTTTTCTGATACACAGCAGAAAACGATGTTGTTGTAACGATTTTACCTTGACAGACTAGGCTGCGTTCCTTATGTTTCCGAAAGAATAGCAGCCTCTGAATCTGTTGGAAGCTTTATGTTTGAGAAAAGTGCGAACAGTAGTAGTTGAGCGTGAGAAGGAGAGGGTTCCTTGATCGGATGGGTATACCAATGACCATGAAGACGATGAGGAAGAGGAGGATGAGCGAGATGATGATGGTGAGCCCTGGTGCTTTCTTGAAGGTTTGATAAACCTTGGGAAAATGCATGAAAATATGTTGGTCTTGGTTGTTCTCTTGTTGCTGGTTTTGGAATTGGAGTAATACGAAGGAGGGGGTGTGAGAGGAGGTAGAGAAGTCTGAGAAGAAGGATGTTTTGGGGTACCAGGTTGTGCCTCCCATGTGAAAGGAACTGCGATTGATGTTTCTCCATAATAGAAGACCCTTGAAGAAGAGTTAGCCTTGGAGGTTTCCTTCGACAATAGCCTTGAGAAGAACCTATCATCCTCCTTTATTCTGAAGGACTTCTCAATCGATACACCATCATTCACCATTTTGGATTCAACTCTAAGATTTTCTTACCTCAACTATGCTGCTGCTGCTACTCCTCCCTTATATTTGCCTTCTAGACCCTTAGCACTGCTTTATGGCTACCAGTACTTTATCATACTCCAAAAACTTAAGACTTATAAATATCATTAAAGAGAGCATGTTCTTGTACATTACTCAGGAATTGGGTTTCTTGATTGGGAATTAATTTAAGCATGGAGTTAATCAAGGAGGGCCCGGGTGTGATGAATTTGATGGGAGGTATTTTTGGAGCGCACCAATTTGGTTGTGGCCAAATTTAATGTCTGATATGGATTGTTGATGATTAAACTGTGTAATTGAATGGGTTATTAGAGGTAGCTGCAAAATTATTTATGGAAGAATCTCGATCATTGACTAAAGACTGACGAAACAGTGTGTGGTTGTTCCTTTATAAATCATTGGTGAGGTGAAACCGTTGAGAGGAAAGGGCATTTGGTTACGCGTTAGCACTGTAATAAATGAAAGCAAAAAGATAGTAAACCTGGCCCTATAGTGGATCTATAGAAAAAAAGGTTCATCCTAGTCCAAAAATGACTTTTAACTTCAGGCGCATAACCTTCGATCACCCAAAATCCAACATAAAAAAAATACCTATAACATTCTTGTAAATAAAACGTTTTTATAAAAGTCGGTTCCCCTGTGTCAGACGTCGGCTTCCTCCAATCAGACATCAAAAAAGTTCGAAAATATCTCATTTTAAGCGGTAATATTAATTTTTTTTACGACATAGACGTCGGTCCCCCAAATCAGACGTCAAATCTTTTTTTAGATGTCAACCCCCTAAATTAGATGTTAAAAAGGTTTGAAAATATCTCATTTTAAGTGTCAATATTTAATTTTTTTTACGACATAGACGTCGACGCCCCCAAATCAGACATCAAATCCTTCTTTAAACGTCGGGCCTCCTAGATCAGATGTAAAAAAGGTCCAAAAATAAACGTTAGTGCCCTCCAAATCAGACGTCAAATCCTCTGCCAGCTGCAAAATAAGAATTGAAAGGTCACCTTTGCAAACATTAGATGTCGAACATAGAAGGGGTCGACGTCTAATACATATTAGACGTCGGATCCCCTTCCCTAGACGTCAATAAGCTGTGAAAATATCCCAAAAATAACGCAAAAATGGATTTTTTTAACAATTAGACGTCGGATCTAGAGGGTTGCCGACGTCAAATGCCCTTTTGAACCCCAAAAACTCAGAATATGAGCCTCACTTTCTTTTGCGTTTGAGTTTTTGTTTCGTTCGTGTTTGCTAGTTACGCATTTTCTCTCTTGCTATGTTCATCTTCTTCCTCTGCATTCTCTCGTTCACATTTAACGTTCAGGTAAGTTTTCTTCCACTTTGCACCATTTAAAATCATTTTGAACCGATTATATTACGTTTGGAACCATTATCTTTCATTTTCATCGATTAAAATTCGTTTTCATTGACTTTTGGTGCAGTTCTTGGACGCATTATGGGACAACTGCGGTGGCGATTTTCGAACCTTATTGTGGGCGTTTTTCTCCTCACCCTCACAGCCGCACTTGTCTATTTTCTCACCTTCACGGCGGTGTCAATTTAGCGTCTCCCACTATGACGTCAAACATTTAAAAGACATCAAAAACTTAAAATAACATACGTTAAAAGCTATTTTTGTGTTGAATCATAGAAATTGACACCACACTCTATGCAAAATCTTAAGATATATGGATTAATAAGTCTTTACTTTTATATAATATTTTACTTTCTCATTTCTATCCAAAGTAAAATTTAGATTTATATATAGATTCTATATTTTCAATATTTTTTTACATGTTGTATCAAAATATTGTTAATAAATATCGGTTAGCGCATTATTTTTCTAAATGAAAACATGCTCATTGAAATCAGAAAGCAAGAATTGGTAGATATTCTACGTATTACTCTACTGTGTAATTGTTCCTAAACAAACTTCATGTCTATCTACCTAAATTGTCATTCTCACAAGGTTTTAAATTAATTATATTTCATTAGGAATTTTTTTAAAAAAAAAACACAAGTGATTTCAGGTGTGAGATGTTAGCTTATAAAGATACTAAAAGCATGTAATGCTATATATGATTGAAGTAAAGAAAATCCAATGATACGAAGGCACTGATATTAATCAATGCATGGTAGGTGATTAAAGGTGATGTAAAAATGAATGAAAAAAGTTGATGTAATTAAAGGTGTTTCTACTACGTGTTAGGTGGTTGAGATGGCTGCAATTTGCGCCATGGCCTTCTCCAAGCAAAGTTTGTTTTGTACCCAAGCTTGGATATTGGATGGTGAAGAATTCAGCCTCATTAAATAGCAGGAAGAAGTTCATGAATAGGTTGACCTACTCGGGCATCTTGGATAGAGACGCATCACACAGTACTTAAAAGTGTGAATGGTATTACTATTATTTATTAGCCATGAAATGTCACATATGGGATGAGCTGTGTTATCAGAAAAGTCACTTCATCTTCATACGGTTAACTGCTTTCCAACACGTTTTGCTATCAACAAATTCCATTATTTCCACTCTTATCACCTTTTAAACGGGATCTAATAATATTAATCATAAGATATCGTGATACCCTAAATATCATATTAGGTAAAATATTTGATAAAGATGAAAAAGAAGGAGACTCATATCAAAACTTTCCCATTACTGCAAAAGAGAAACTACCATTATTATCACTTTAGGTGAATTAATTAACAGCAGCATGCAGGACCATGCACTGGTCCTGTGCTGGAAAAAGATCGTGATGAAGGAATTTCTTCTTGTGTGGGTCAGAAACATTGAATGGCGAAATAATATTAACATTTACACGACAACATGCATTAACTATGTACATGTATTAGGATTTAATGTGTTGATCACTGAATCTGAAAGGTTAATTTACTGCATGTTGCGATCCGGAATATTTACTCTTAAACATGTTTTTGCTTTCTACATATCAGAAGAAGTCACTTTTGTTACTGCCATTTCTCTGTTGTGGGGACAGAGAAAAAAAAACAAATTAATTATGATACGAAAAGTTGCTTTGATTTGAACACTTATGAGGAATGGTGGTCTGAATTAGACATGGCAACACAGAACATGCAGGGATTAGGCAGGTCCCTGTGGAAGGATATAGCACATTAAAACCATTGCCCCACACTTTCTTAATCTTTTACTTTCTACATAATATATATAATAAAACTATATTCGACACAATTCCCTATTTTATCTTAATACTCTTTTCAGTGAATTGTTAATGTCACAAGTCTATTTAAAAGTTAATTTAATAGTTGCTTGTAATAGTTAATAATTAATTTACTCTTAATGTGGTGTATCTAAAAATGTTGTTATAGAAACAACTTGAGATGGTGAAGATGATAGTGACAAAAACACTATAACAATCCTAGTTCTAATAAAGAACAAGATAAAATAAATAAATAAAATTTATTCATTGAACGTAATAACATAATTAAGTGGAGTCTAAAACACATGTTAAATTGAAATCTACCAAAGTCATTCGACAAGATATATTTTTTTAAAATTATATGAATGTATATTATGAAAAATAAAGTAGTCGCTTTAGACTTGATAAATGAACCGGATGAATTAGGTTAGATAAATAATTGTAAAATTTATATTAGATCCATAAAGCTGAATCAATTGTCTTTTTCGTTATTAATTATCAATAATAGAAATGAATGATAGTGGGACGAGGCAAAAATGAGAAATAACTAATGGTTAAGAGTTGCTATTTGATATAAAAATGTGTTTCATTGACTATTGTATATCCAGTTAAAAAAATACTCTCTCATATGACAAAAATACCCAAAGGTCCATGAATACCTCCTAATTTTTCACTACAATGAAAAATATAAACAAAACTGTATTACAATTTTTTTTAATATATATAGACAATTTTAGTTTAGATTAAAATGGGTTTCTTTTATACTTTAAAATCGTACATTATATTATATATTATATTATTTTGAATTAATTAAAATTTTCAAATAAAGTTTTATGTTAGACATTATTGTCATGAAAATTTTATTAAAAAAGTAAAAGTATAAGAACCATGCCAAATTCATAATAAAATTATATCACATATATATAAACAAGAAAATTTTATTATGCAAAAAAAAAAACTAAATAAAAAATTTCTTAGCATATTTATTATTAGGTAACTCTCTCACTTTCTAAAAAAAGTCTTTAACAATTTTTATAAGTTTTTGGTTAGGAAAATTTAATATTAATTTTCTTTGGTTTATCACTACCAAGTTTTTTTTTTAATTTGAGTGGACTAACATCATCTTCTTCTTCGTATTAGAATCTTCTCTCCCATCAAACATATCATATCTTTTCAAAGCTAATTTCAATTCATCCAAAAAATGAACTTTCTTGCATGTCAAAGAATTAAAAATTGTTTCAAACTCACTAAGATGAATCTAGATATTATAAACCTTGTAAACTATTTATGAGAACGACATTCTCCAAATAAAACATGCTAACCAATGAATCAGACTTCACTAACACACTAATAGTAAAAACATCTAAATTTTTAACAAGATAATATTAATTCATAACATATATCATGATTAATCATTATTGACTAAATCTGTGATTGAACAGCAGACAATACCACAATAGATTTCACTATAGTGATTTAACCACAAACTCCACAAGGGACTTCACCACAAACTTCACCAAAGACACACCACCTTTTTTATAAAAGGTTAACATTTTTAAGTAAGTTTATACTAATTTTTTGTTTATTATGTACTCAAAAATTTTATATTCTTTAATTAGTTTTTTATCATTTAATTCTTTCGTTCACTCAATCTGATTATTATTTTATCTTATATTTTACTTACTTGTCTTCCTATGTTAAAAGATGTGAAGTTTAATATTAATATTAAAGGATATTATTATTAATGTAAAATAATAAGTTATTTTAAGATTTTATATTAAAAAATGTTTGATTTACAAGGTACTAATATTGTCTTTTATATCAACGGTGGTTACAATAACAATTTTTTTTATTGTGGTAGATAATGCGGACAAAAAATTTAATAATTTTACTATCTGGCATGTTTTAAATTAAAATAATAAAAATTTTATTATTTTACACTAAGACAATATCGTTATGTATTAACAATAAAATATATAATTTCTTAATATGTAAAAATAAATAAATATGATATAGACAAAATAACAATTACATAACACTTAACTAAAAATAATTAAACGACAAAACTTAATTAAAAATTATACAAAATTTAAATACTTAATATACTAAATATATTTAATGAAGACTTAATTAAAATTAAAATTTTACAACCGACT